GGCAGGAAGTTTTTTTTAGGGTCACATTGGAAGAACATGGGAGTAAATTAGAAATATCTATTATATTTTTAGGATAGTATGGATGTCATGGGTATTCAGGATAACTAAAATTCCTGGTGATGGTACTACTGAAATTCATCTTTGATATGTGTGCATCATCTTTACTTATAGGCATACACGGTCTAGTTTTCATAAGCAGTGTGCATGCTGAAATATCTCTGCAATTAAAAGTCAATCTCTTGTAGAATAAGTAAAATTCCATTCACTACGTGTGCCATTACATAAATAATTAACTATGGAGAGTCTTAAAATAGAACTCCTTTTAGATGGAGGAGGGTTATAACCCCTGTCATTTTTTGCCATCTGTGTTCCATTGTGGAGATTTCCCCTCACTTTCTGTCCCATAGCCAGAAGTGAAGGATTCCCTGGTTGTCACCAGAGCTAGTAGCCCCCATTGAAAGATTTTGCATCTATTCCTCCTCTGTGGACAATGCAAAATTTGGAATTTACTTTTATTTTCAGTAATAATGGTAAACCGCAGAAATAAAAACCCAACAAGTGTTATAATCCCTCTCCACTCTATCCAAAATGAAAAAAAAAAAAAATTTAGTTTATACTTTAAGCTAGCCATAAACATTTTTATTTTCGCTGTTCATCACTCGATTCCTCTATTCATGCTAAACAGCATGGATAGAGGAATCTGCACTGCCAACTATTGTATTCAGATGGCCAACACCCATGGCACCCTGAATTCCCAAACAGGGACTGCTTCTGATTGGATGCAGTCATTGTTCAGCAGATAATTTTCCATTCAACTTAGTAAATTTTTCAAAAAGATTTATCTTCACTTCCTGTCCCAAAGACAAAACAGAAGGTGAGAAAATCCCTAGTTGTCACCACAACAAGTTTCCCAACTTGAAAGATTTCCCCTCTACTCCTGTTTTAGTGACAACCCAAAATTTTAGGATTTTCTTTAATTTTCAGTGATAACTGTAAATAGGACAATAGCAGTAAAAGTCCAACAGGATTCTAATCCCTCTGCACTCTGTCCAAAACTTAAAGGCAAAACCTTTTTTTTTTTTTTTGTTTTGTTAAGTCAACCGAATATGTTGCAGTCTGATTATGTGGTCTCTGTTGCGTTCACATATAGGCCTCATGCACCCAGAACGTTTTCTAAACTCTCCTATAAGCCTTCCTCCTGGCAGCAGCATTTTGGCAAAAAAAAAGCTTGATGCTTGTAAAAGTGTAAAGCTTTTACAAGTGTGTAGATGCGTTTACAGGCGTCTAGCATTTGGGCATTGATTAATTTCATTGGCCAGAATAAATAAAGTGGAACTGCACTGCATATGAGCACCACAAACCACAAATGCTATTTAGTTCATTTTTAATAATCAAAGCAAACTCCTCCATCCATCTATGTGTCCATGCTTTTCTTTTGCTGAGAAATCACTTTGAAAAACACATCCTGGCATTTCTGGCAGGGGCCATCTTGAGTAAAGGTTGATGATTCATTTATCTCTTCTTCTCAGGACTCCTAGGATGTATGACATCATTTGCCTAGGCACAGAAACCTAGAAGTAACTTGAGAAATGTAAAAAAAAGTTTAAAACAAGTAAATAAAATATACTTTGCTATCTATTTATTAATGATAGCAGCAGAAGGATTACAAATACCATGTTTCCCCGAAAATAAGACACTGTCTTTTTTTTGTTTTGGCTCAAAAAAACACACTAGGTCTTATTTTTGGGGTAGGTCTTATTTTTTAAATGTCCAGGTGTGGACAGGGGGTGCAGAGGTGAGCTGCAGGCAGTTGTGGATGAGGGTTACTATGGAGGGGGCCGGCTGATGACAGTTGTGAGCTACAGTCAGGTGTTGCAGAGGTGACTTGACATGTGAGTTTCAGACAGGGTGCAGAGATGAGCCACAGAAGGTGCAGGGGTAAGTTGCAGATGTGGGATGTGGCCAGAGGGTGCAGAGCTGAGCTGTGGCTGGGGGGTGCAGAGCTGAGCTGTGGCTGGGGGGTGCAAAGGTGGGTTGCAACTCAGCTCACTTCTGCACCCCCCCAGCCTCAGCTCACCTATGCACCGTCTGCAACTCACCTGACTGCAGCTCACCTTTGCACATTCCCCCTCCACTGTCCTCATATGGTTAGCTAGCTTTGCAAAACACAGCTGTCAGCAGCCGGCCCCTCTCTATAGTAACTCCCATTCCGGGTCCCATTTTCCCACACAGTGCACCAAGCGTACTTACTCACCACTCCGCCTCTTCCCCACTGGCCGGCGATCACCCCTGGAGCATCGGCTTCCATGCATTAGACTGCAGGAGGAGATGCCCCACCCCTAAACACACTGCATACTGCACCCGCAGATATCTGTTCCTTCCCTGTCCCACAGTGAGTACAGAGGTAGGGAGGTTCTGTGGGGGCGGATGGTGCTGTCACTTCAGGCACGCTTCTGTGTTTATAAGAGACAGTGAATATGGGTGTGCGCAGGGCCAGTGACGGAATGGCGTTCCACAATGTTGCGGCTGAAAAAAAGCCCTGATCACAACTGGGTCTTATTTTCGGGGTAGGTCTTATACTTTAGTAATTCCCAAAAATAGCCCTAGGTCTTATTTTCGGGGTAGGTCTTATTTTAGGGGAAACAGGGTAGCTCATGTTGCTAGAGAGAGTGAAGTTCCACTAAAGTTATTCTGGCCATTGAAATTAATTAATGCTCCAGCGCTAAATGTGCGTACCAATAATTTTTTCTGCCAAAACCCTGCTGCTCCTGGATGCACTGATAGTGGGGGGGGGGTTTTCTCCTGCCTCCAAATTTTTTTGCCACTGAACACTGCTAAATTCCTATGTGTACATGGGCATGCATGGGATTTTAGAGGCAGGAAAAAAAAAAAAAAAACACCTAACGCCCCTAGAAGCAGATGCAAAAATGTCCAGTGTGCATGAGGCCGAATAGAGGGAAGTGATATGCGGAAACGCATCACAAATGCAGCAAAAATGCATCATACATTGCGTTTGTGCTACAACATGGCAAAATGCATGTGCGTTTTTGATACAGAACAGTGTAAAAGTAGCAAAGATGTGCAAATTCGGCAATGCGGTACGTTCGACTTAGATCCAACACTATATAGTAAAGGAGATTGTGTAGTCAGATTGTAATGTGTATTTCTAGAATAGGGGCTTGCACTTGCTGTTTTTCACATGCATTTGTTTTTCTAAACCTACCAAAGCATATTGTAGTTTTATTTTATTATGTGCACTTATCACTGAACTTTTGTAATGACAAATGTACACACTGAACAAGCACCGGTGACCGAGAAAAGAATGGTGGAACAGCTTGTTAACATTAGATAACCGCACTGGCAAGCCCTGTGGCTTTTGTCAGTACGGGTTTCTTTTAAAGATGGTGCACACAGGAAGACAGACACAGCAATTAACCCTTCTGAGTGGAGTGCAAAAGTTTTCCCCAATCAGTGCCCAATGTGTTTTCTGGCAAGGTTCCACCACTGTTTTCTAATAGTTGTTAGTTGTCATTGATTACTACGACAAGAACTAGTTTTTGGGGGTTTAATACCTGGAAATGGTGGGATGGGCCTGACTTTGATTCTTAAAGGATAATTTCACCTTTGGGAACATATTACAGTTTCATCAGATTTTATGGTGTAACATGTTTCCACTCCTGCATCCGCTGCATCTAGTGACACCTTGCAGGGGATCTTCTCCCCCTGCTAAGTGTCGCCATTTTAAAAATAGTGCCACGTCATTCATTCACAGAGTTTTGTAAATGGGTAACTACAAGTACCGATAGTATTGTGCTGTTGAGTGGTGGTTCATAGTCTCTTCCTGTCAGTGTGTATCTGCCTGCCCATACGAGGTTTGAACAAACAGATACAATGGCAAGTCTGTAGGATACCTGCATGGCACCTGTGATCTGTGAAGTGATCAAGTGAAAAAATAATAAATGCACATTTTTTTTTTTTTTTTTTTTTTTTTTTTACTGCATGTGCATTTATTTATTTTTAAAAGGTGAACTTATCCTTTATCATCCCAGTGAAAACCCTGCTTCTCAGAATGATACATACAGCCCTTATTATACAGGCTTTTAGGGTTCATGCGCACAGGCATATTAAAATACTCCCATATACGCTTGGGACTTTCTGCCAGAAGCAGAATCCAGCGTTAAATGTGCATCTTGGCTTGTAATTAAACACATTTATGCATATGGTGTTTAGAGTCGCATGCACATAAATTTATTCTGTTGGCTAGAATATTCACTTTTTTTTATGCCAGTAAGCTTTTTTCCGAATGCAGGTTTGGGTCTTTTTTTGCCCCTGAACACAACTCTAAACTATAGATCTAAAGGCCACAATGCGTGTGTAGACACATGCTGCATTCATAGGAATAAAAAATGCCTCTAAGACCTCATGCACACAGATAGTTTGGGACTCAAAATTAGCCATGGAATTAAAAATGTTAAATCCTGTAAGAAAGCATCCGACATGTGCTTGATTACAGGCACACACATCCATTCACTTCTTTGGCTGTCTGTGTAAAGGTAAGCTGTTCTGATCTCACTGGCTGCATACTTGTTCCAGATCCAGTGCCTTTCCGTATTTTTCAGACGCCAATGACAGCTGGGCAGCTTATATTTTTCCGGACAGTGATTAGCCTCTCAAGAAAGGTTTCTTTTATAATATTTTTAAATTTGTGACATTTCACTATAGTTATAACAAAAAATAAAGTAAACCCTGCAATGTGCCGGGATCTATGCGTCGACTCTTTGTCCTCCCAGTGAGCACCAGTGGCTGTTCACAGTTGCTTGTGTGAATCCAGCCTTAAGACTGTATTGCAAGTAGGCTTTGTACACTGCTTTTGCAGGAAAATGTGCCTAGGAATTGTACTACGTTATTTTTTTTTTTCGGTTATATATAACATCTGTTTTTGTGTTGCACTCAATAAAATAACTTTCACAGATATAGTAAATGTCCTTTGTTTACCACAGGAAGGAATGGTTGGACCTCAAGACTGAATACTTGTCACTTCAGAGAGCCAGCATGGCATCCCTCAAGAAGTCGTTAAATGAAATAAGCCGTTCTACAGGAGAGATGGAAACTGAGCCAACTGGAGAAAACCTTGACAGTAAAGGTAGATTGACCTGAAACAGCCACAGAGTTGTATTGCAGTACAAAAGTAAATATACACAACACGTACACTCACCGGCCACTTTATTAGGTACACCTTACTAGTGCCAAGAAAATATTCCCCACACCATTACACCACCACCACCAGCCTGAACCATTGATACAAGGCAGGATGGATCCATTTTTTTCATGTTTACGCTAAATTCTGATCCTACCATCTGAATGTTGCAGCTGAAATCAAATGCCCATTCTCCTCTGATATCAATATGGCATTTTCATCCACACAACTGCCACTCACTGGATATTTTCTCTTTTTTGGACCATTCTCTGTAAACCCTAGAGATGGTTGTGCATAAAAATCCCAGTAGTTCAGCAGTTTTTTTTAAATACTCAGACCAGCCTGTCTGGCACCAACAACCAAGCCACGTTCAAAGTCACTTAAATCCCTTTTCTTCCCCATTCTGAAGCTCAGTTTGAACTTCAGCAAGTTGTCTTTACCACGTCTACATGCCTAAATGTATTGAGTTGCTGCCATGTGATTGGCCGATTTAACAATTTGTGTTACCAAGCAATTGAACAGCTGTACCTAATAAAGTGGTCAGTGAGTGCTCTCCCTGCTAAAACCTTTGTGTAGTAAGGTCTCATGCGCACTAGACTCTTCTGAATGCTTTTCTCCTGACTAGAGAAAAGCAGCATTTAAAACGCACTTAACTTCCTTTAGTAAATACTCACATCATCCACATTTCCTCAACAGAATATAGCAGTTACTTCCTTCAAGACGCAAATACTTCTAGGTAACACACATTTTCTAATCCGGATACACAACACAGAACACGCAACCTCTTCAAAGCAACCCCTACCCGACACTTCGTACCCCCTCATCATAAAAGCTCATTATTACATGGGTCAGTACCCTTTACTATCTACATAACCTCGTCTAGTAAACTCTTCATATCTGCAGTAATGTAATATACACCTGTCTTACTGCATTGTTACGCTATGATTGCATTGTAATCTATATGTCTGACCCGTCTGCGATACGGGACACCGTTTATTGTGTCTATTCTAGGACTGCGATCCGTAGTTGTATTTGCTTTGCTATGCCTTATTGTTTAACCATTTTAATACCGGGCAATTTTACACCTTCCTGCCCAGGCCAGTTTTCAGGTTTCAGCGCTCTCACACTTTGAATGACAATTGCGCGGTCATACAACATTGTACCCAAACTAAAATGTTATCATTTTCTTCACACAACTAGAGCTTTCTTTTGGTGGTATTTAATCACCGCTGGGGTTTTTATTTTTTGCTAAATTAACAAAAAAAGACCCAAAATTTTGAAAAAAAAACACGTTTTTCTTTGTTTCTGTTATAAAAGTTTACAAATAATTGTTCTTCATAAATTTAGGCCAAAATGTATTCTGCTACATGTCTTTGGTGAAAATAACCCAAATTAGGATGTATTATTTAGTTTGTAGGAAAGTTATAGAGTTCACAAACTATGGTATAGATCTGAAAATTGATCAATCCTGAAGTACAGCCAATCTAATTTCTTGAGGTCCAAGAATGTCAGAGCAGTACAGATATCCCCCAAATGACCCCTTTTTGCAGAGTAGACAGTCCGACGTACTTCATAAGAGGAATGGCGCGTTTTTTGAAGTTGTATTTTTTTTGTCATAATTTTTCGGAAAATGAAAAAAATTATTTTCACTATTTTTGTTTTTTACATACTGTCACCAGTGCAGTACAGCATCATCATATAACTGGCATGGCAGTGAACAGGGACACTGACTGGTGACAGTATGAAAAAAAAATATATATATATTTTTTTATTACATTTTTTTTTTTTTTTTTAGATTTTTTTTTCATATTTTACTATGACCAAAGTAGTACAATGTTACCATAGTAACATTGTACTACTTTGGGGAAGTGATCAGTATTTTTTTTTTTTTTTACACAATTTGCTTATAGCAAAGAATTACTTTGCTATTAGCAAGCATTTACCTGAATGAAATCGATTCATTTAGGTTTTTTGTTTTTTTTTCTTTGTGCTTAGCTGTGATTTGGCCACAGCTAATCACATGACATGTGCATGTGACCTGCTGTGACCATTCACAGCTAGGCACTAGTATACAATGGATGGCATGAATGAAGCCATCCATTGTATACAACTGTCATGTGACCTGCTGTGATTGGTCACAGCAGGTCACATGGTACCGGCAACGGGGGCCGGTACTCAGATCTGTCATCGGCCCTGTCCGAGGTACACGGCCGGTGACAGATCGCGCCGCTGCGCGGCTCTGCAACCGCACAAACTGCGCATGTGCGGGAGCACGCCAAATGGTGTGCACCCAGAAAGCTGATGCATTTTTGCTGCCACCAAACGGCTATAGGCCAGGCGGCGCTAATGGTTACTAAAATATTTTTTGGGAGAAAAAAAAAAACACGCACTTAAAGCCACACTTTTCTAATGTGTTAAGGTGCTTTTAGACATGTGCGTCACGTGTCTTGGCGTTTATTTAATTGAGCAGAATATTAATTTATTCTGGCCATTGAAATGAACAGTGTTTTTTTTTTTTTTCTGCCTAAACGTTTTTTGCTCCTGAATGTGATTTTGGTGCATTCAGATTTCTTCCTCTAAACTCCTAAAAAGGTTTGTGTACATGGACACAGGCTAACAAAGTGAGGCATTTTGGGGTAACAAAAAAACATGTCAAATGCCTGTAAAATGGGCGTTTGACAGCTGCAGTGTGTTTGAGGCCTAACTCATGTGATCTATGCACCCCTACCAAACAGCAAAGCCAGGTGCTACATCTTTTTTTTTTTTCCACCACAGCTGAAACACAATAGCTTGTTTAGACTGCTCCAACCTGTAGAAAAGAAAAGCAAAGTTGCATTTACCCTGCAATCCCCCCCCCCCCTCCATTAGCATATTCCCAGTGGTAGATGGAAGTCACTCCTATGCAGTAGTCTTCCTCACCAGTATGAATACTGCTATATTGGGTATTGCAGATGAATAATATGAAGACAGATTGAGGTACCATGTAAAAATACATCTAAGCATGTGTAACAAATATATAACTGGATTCAATTGGCGTCCTATTTTTGCCTACACATCTGCTTTAAAAAAAACATTTTTTAATGTACTCATCATTGAATTAATTTTAGTTGTCCCGTTATTTTCCCTGTTTATTTTCTTTCAGTTTCTGTGTAATGTTCCATCACATTATATTTTGGCAGCTTCTTTTCACATTTTTCTCATGCATTCAACAGCAAATAGTGCAAAGAATGAAAATCTAGGACCCCAGTTTGTTTGTGGTGTTATTGTGAAGATCACCTGCTCAGATCCTTTGCCAATTCGTAAATACATTAAGGTAAGCAGAGAAAACTCTATATTTATTGGCTCTTTTTTACAGTTGTAGCTGCATATTCCATCTTACACAAGTCTTGAGTTTAGTTTCTTATTTAAAGCCAAACTCTAGAAATTTGACAAAAATACCCTGCGCTCTACAATAGTGCCATGTATGCCAGAAAACGTTTTGGAAAATCTCTTCAGATAATTGGATTAGTGACATTATGAATTTGAGTTAGGTACCTTGGATTGTATGCTCCTTGAGGGTTAGAGACTGATGTGAATGTAAAATATACTGTATATGTAAAGCACTACGTACATTGACGGTGCTATATAAGTACCTGTAAAAAATAATAAATTATATAGAAAATATTCTTAGGTTATCTAATTCAAGGTATCATATGCTCTTTTACAGTCAAATTTAATAAGTTTCCCTGTAGGTTTTTGGATGTGACTCCAACCTTTTTTACATGATTCTCTGTGCTATCTCAGTTTCTATAATGTGCGGCCTTTGGTGGGCTTGGAGAGGGAGCTGCATTTGAATACATTAACATAAATGCAGAGTTGTCCAAGACTTGAGGATACTGGCAACTATATTTGGTTTTTAGACACTGAGGATGGATGGCAGGAAAACATTTTATACCATTTTCTAGAAAGTCTGTACCTTGATTCATTCCAAGAATCCTAAGTTTGGAGAGTAAAAATAAGAATTAGGCAACAGTTTCCATGCACTTCTTTTTTGTAATGATCAAGTCATCCAGAGGTCATTTACAATGCTCTTTTACATAACACTAGATGGAAAAATATAATTCCATTAAACCTTTTTTTTGTAGGAGATATTATCTGCAGTGTCTGAAGTAGTATATGTAGATATGCTGGAGGGGGATACAGAGTGTCATGCTCGCTGTAAGACTCCTGAAGATGCTCAAGCTGTTCTGAAAGCACGCTCTGAGCTGCAGAGCAAGCACAACTGGAAGCTTCAAATCCTCACGGGTAAGGAAATGGTTAAAGGATATCCGTCACCTACTGAGCAGTACATTAACAAGTAAAGCAGGTGTCCAAGGTGAAATATATGAAGTAGTAGAATGGGAGAGGTGACAGTACATATTACTTAGGAAAAGACGTAATGAGAAATGCAGAGTGGGTGGTTTTACTTGTAGGGTTTTTTTTTTTTCTTTCAGGGTGGGGGGGTAAGGGGAATAAAGATAGAATGGGAACAATGATAGAAAGGGATATAATTAAGGGTTTAAATATAATTGAAGGTTTTGTATGTTATATGAGAGAAATGAAGAATATGTATTTTTTATATGGAAAATAAATAAATATATAAATTAAAAAAAAAGTAAAGCAGGGTATAGAATGGATGAAACTCAAGCATCAAAATTGGTTACAGATACCATCTGCATTTCAGATATAACCTTGTATAGTCTATGTAAGGCTTGGCCATACATTATACGATTTTCTTGTACAATTTTCCTTTTAGATTAGATCCAAAACCATATAATGAGGTCAAAGCTTAACACTTTCAGTTTATATGCAGTCAGGCAAGGCCTTGCATTAACCTGTCTAACAGTATGCGTTAAAAACAGGGGTTTAGTTAGCACACATTTGCAAATACATGCGTAAGCTACAGAGCCTTGTCACGGCACCCCGATATTCTGTAGTTCATAACTCTACAATTTTGAGAGCCCCCATAGTAGAGGCACATGTTATTTAATAGATAGACCAAGGACAGGTGGACCTGAGGGAGCCCACCCCTCCTTAACCTCTTCACGCCGGCCACACACAAATGTGCGGCCTCCCGGCGTCTGGGCCTAGACGCCGTGCGGCCGCACATTTGCGTGCAATTAACAAAAACCATATGCGCTGAGAGCGCGCACCCTGCGCTCTCCCAGCACACATGTCCGGTACTCACGGTAGTCCCGGTCTGCTCTTTCGATTGGGACCTTTGGCGGTCACGGTGATCCCTAAACCCCGCCCGTCCTGCCTCCAGGCTTCTGAAACTCTTAAAGGCCCGGGAAGAGCTGGCGGGAAGGGGTTAAAGGTACAGGAGCGCACTGGACACCCAGCATATAGCACAATGGCAGCTAAGGTGTCCAGTCTCCACCCCCGCCAACAATTCAACAGTACAAGACATGGCCACTGCCCTAGTCTATAACTGGCCTTCACAGCAAGGAGCACATGGAAGGGTGACACATGTCAAACAACAAAAGAGAAAAATTCCTGGCTCGACTTGCCAGTCAGCCTGCAAACAAACTGAATTATCCTGTCTAACAGTATGCGTTAAAAACAGGGGTTTAGTTAGCACTAGTGGTGCACCAAAATTAAAATTATGGTGTCGAAACCGATACTGAAAATTCAGAATGCATGTGGCCGAAAACCGAACCGAAATGTATCTGGGGGTGGGGAGGCTCCAATTTTTTTTTTGTACTTTTTTTCTACTTTCTTGTAAGTGTGCGTGTGTGTATCTGTATGTACGTGTGTATGTATGTGTGTATGTATATATAAAATCATTTTTTAACTTAAGATTTCATTGCTATCGCATAGGGGACCAATCGTCCCCTATGTGATAGCATATGAGTGACAGGTCCTTTTTGGAGGGGGGTGGGGAGAGGCGCAGTGGAGGGGGCAGGGGAGGAGCAGTGTATACAGTGAGGGAGCAGTGTATACAGAGAGGCTCCCTTACTGACTTTCACTATATGTTGGTGCCAATTTTTAAATGCAATTGCCAGCTTTTTTTTTTCTTCAGTATAGCTCACAGAATTAGCTGTCACTTTCCCTGGAGCTAAAGGAAACTTTGTTTCTATTTATCTCAGGAAAGAAACTTAAACATTGTTTCTTTTTGGGGAAATAAACTAAAAGGAAGCTTTGTTTCTTTTAGCTGGGGGAAAGTGACAGCTGATTCTCTGAGCTATAGTGAAGAAAAAATAAAATCCTGTAATTACATTTAATAACGGCAGTGACATATAGTGACAGCCAGTCACTGGATACACTCCTCCTCTCCTGCCTTTCTCCGCTGCCCCCCCTCTCACATCTGCAGTACATACAGTCCCCTGTATCTGCACCTGTATCAGCTACATTTTTCCTATCGCCAAAATGCCTATAGGGTTATTTTCGGCCGATATGTTTCGGTGGCCAAAATTTTGGTGCATCCCTAGTTAGCACACATTTGCAAATACATGTGTAAGCTACAGAGCCTCGTCATGGCACCCTGATATTCTGTAGTTCCTAACTCTAGAAGTTTTGAGAGCCCCCATAGTAGAGGCACATGTATTTAATGGATAGACCAAGGGCAGGTGGACCATGCATTACATAGTTGAAGGTTATGCTAAATAAAATTGAATAAGGAAATGGTATAATGTATAATGTCTTGCTTTTCTTGGGTTCCAGCCAGTATAGTAGCTGCAAGTCACAGTGCACTTTTATTCAATACTTCATTGGTGGCAGTTGCTTGTACTTTGTTTGCAGATATGGAATTGTGTGCAATTAAATCTATTTTTCTTTAGGAGACAATGAGCAGCGATATTGGCAGAAGATCTTAGTGGACAGGCAGGCAAAACTGAACAGACCTCGTGAAAAGAAGCGGGGGACTGAAAAGGTGAATTTTATAATTGTATTATTTTTTCTTTGCAGCTGGGCTAATATCTTTCTAAATACTGGTAATTTATTGGCAATGTCGAGTCTTAGGATTATGATCAACTGGTAGACTGTTCTATAAGGTGTTTTCTGATGTGTTTGGATGTGAGTAAGGCTTTGTGACAATGATTTGTATCCCTGGTACCTCCAAACTAAATTACTGTATTTTGTTTATATATTTGGAACAATGTTTCTCAACATGTTAATGAATAGTGAAAGTTACTGAAGAAGCGGTTTTTTGTCATGAGAGAATAAAGTACTGTAATTGACTTTTATGTCTCCAAATGCTAATTGCCTGGCTCTTATGCTGACTATTTTACTGTAAAAGGTTTAGTCACTGAGGCAAAAAAAAAAACATCTGAGGAGTGTATGACCTTTCTGATCCCCATACTTAAAGTAGAACTATAGGCAAAACTTTATTTTATTTTTTTCGTTTTGAATAATTTAATGGAGGGTTATAACCCCTGTCCATTTATTTTTTGCCATCTGTGCCCCATTGAGGCTATTTCCCTTCACTTCCTGTCCCCTAGCCAAGGGAAATCCTTGGGAACCCCCAGGTTACTAGAACTAGTGTCCCCATTGAAACATTTCCCTCCTGATACTTTTCTGGGGCAACTCAAAATTTGGGGGTTTCTTTTACTTTCACTTTCGATGATAATGGTAAACAGGACAAATAAAGAGGATGAATCTCTGTAATGGGGGCACAGACTGCAGTAAAATCTAACTGGTGTACTTATCCATCTCTACTCTGTCCAAAACTTAAAAGAAAAAAAATTTCCTTTAGTTATACTGCAGCTGAGTCCAATCAAATGATGCAGTGTACACTGCAGAGTGGGTACAGATGAATCGAAATTTGGCCAGTTCCGCAAGGACCAGCCAGAATTCAATCTGTATGTCCCTCCCTGTTTGACGGAAGTGATTATTGAATCGACTTCTGTTCAACAGCCACACTGGAAAACTTTCAGTTACAGCCACTAATCAGTGTATTCTGAGAAAGAAGATGCTCCGCTGTCAGAATACATTGTTGTTAAAGCGGAGGGATTCCTCTGTCCAAATCATTTGTGTGGATGAGGGGAAATCCTGTCTTGTGTTTTGTTTTGTTTTTTTGTTTTGTTTTTTTCCATTCAGCCCACTGGCTGAACGAAGAAAAAAACTAACCATGCATACCCAGTTTAACAATTTTAATTGTAGCAACTTATTGTAGCTCATTAAAGCCAGTCAGAATTGGTGTATCATACTAGTGGGACACCATTATTTCATTAATACATTTACACCCATGTAAAACTACCTATGAAGGTGTGTAAAATGACATTAAAATGGAAGTAAACTCCCACTGAACACCTGTAACTACAGGCAAGTTTATAATAAAGCTTACCTGTAGGTACAAGGAATATCTCTTAAACATGCACAGTTTAGGAGATATTCCGTGTCCCTGCAGCTGGTGACGTCACCGGCACATACCTGTGCCATTCCTTCACAGCTCTGTGCCACAGCGGAGACTCCCACGTGCATGCGTGGAGTGACGTAATTGTGGCTTGACCAATCAAGCAGCCAGAGCCCGCTAACCCAGAAGGAAGACCAGGTAAAGATGGAAGCCCTGTCAGCAGTGACAGTGCTTTGCTGGAGGGCTTTGTTCTAAGTCTTGACATTATTTTGCACAGGAATTGTTTTGGGGGTTTTTTTTTGGCAGTTTACTACCGCTTTAATATCAAACAATAATTCCACTATGAAAATTTGGGAAGTATAAAGAGCTGCCATTAGCCAAACTTCTAAAGTCCCAACTATATAAACCAAATGTGACAGCATTGTCTTTATTTTTTATTTTTTGCACCTGTTTTAAGATAATGGCTTGGGTACCTTAAAAGCTAAATTGCAAGCAAACAGCTATTACAGATAAAATCAATATGAGAGCTGTGTTATCTGCAAAACATTTTGCATTTCTGTCAACCCAGTCCTTAGACTACACAGCACAGCTTCATCTGTAGAGCAGAAGGACTAAATTGTCCTTGCTGTAGTTAAGTAACATTTACAGACATTGTCCTTCCCCAAGCCTTTTAAATGAGAAACAGCAGAACATTGAAATCATCCCTCCATCATTGTGCTGTACCTTCCTGTCAGCCTACTTCTTACACTGCAGCAAAATGGATTTGCTACTTGTGGTGCTTCGTAATTCTCAAGTCTGAGCTCAGCTATGAAGGGCTGATTACGAAGGCCGAATTTGGTACTTTCACTGCTTGCATTTTTAAAGAATGCAGTGATGTAAATCGATACAGAGTTGCAATAAATCTCCGATGTGTATAACTTTCACAAACAATATATATATATGTTGCCAATCACAGCCTATATCTCCGTGCTAAAGTGATGGTGAAGGTAACACATAAATTAAAATTATATATAGTAAAACAAATCATCCATTTTAAATAACTCATACATCAATATACAGTGACTAGAAAGATTCAGATAAACAGCGCTCTGTCATACTAGATTAAATAATCAATATCCATTCAAAAACAATTATAATGTAAATAATATAGAGACTTCCACTAAAGTGCAAAAACTGTGAAAAAGTTAATTTCAGTAATGTGATATCTCCTTAAAGTAGCTTGATCCACTATCACTGTGATCCTGCAGTGATTATCACCCCATTGAATTCAACACTCACCAGAAGCTGGTGGAAAATCGTAGAAAATCAGCCTCCTTGATGCTGAATGGTTGTGAAAGCGACAATAGGATAATCAGCCAGCAGCCCAAAAACAACCTTCAATCAGTGAATTATCGATCACTCTTGCTCCAATCTCCTCATCCAGATTAAATTATATCACTTCCACTCCATATATGGGCAAAATAAAACAGCCACATAGTGTGATTCTGTAAACACATTTTTATTATCTTAAAAAAAAAACCCTTAAAATGACACATTGAGATCAAAAGTAAAGCACATTGTAAGCATAGCACTTCAAATCTAATGGCCACCACTTCTGCGGCTGGTGACAGTCTCACCACACACTGGTTCCTATGGATTCCCGCAGGAACGGTCACATGATCGCGCCATGTGGTCCCGGCATCCGTGCTGACATCACAGATGTTCACGTACTGACGCGTTTCGTCATTCCGACTTCCTCTGAGGGTGTCAGAAGTGGCAGCCATTATATTAGAAGTGCTATGCTTGCAATGTGCTTTACTTTTTAATTCAGTGTGAGTGTTTTCATTTTAAGGGGGGCTTTTAAGATAATGTGTTTATGGAATCGCACTATGTGGCTGTTTTATTGTGCCCATATATGGAGTGGAATTGATATTTAATATGGATGATGAGGAGATCGGAGTAAGAGTGATCGCAGGTTGTTTTTGGGCTGCTGGCTGATTATCCTATTGTCGCTTTCACAACCATTCAACATCAAGGAGGTTGATTTTCTTCTGATTTTTCCACTGCTGGTTATTCACCAGCTTCTGGTGAGTGTTGAAATCAATGGGGTGATAATCACTGCAGGATCACATTGATAGTGGATTGAGCTACTTTAAGGAGATATCACATTACTGAAATGAACTTTTTCACAGTTTTTTTCACTTTAGTGGAAGTTTCTATATTATTTACTTTATAATTGTTTTTGATTGGATATTGATTATTTATGACTCCTGTTTTTAAGTGTAATCTAGTATGACAGAGCGCTGTTTGTTGAAATCAATGGGGTGATAATCACTGCAGGATCACATTGATGGTGGATCAAGCTACTTTAAAGAGATATTGCATTACTGAAAATGAACTGAACTTTTTCACAGTTTTTTCACTTTGGTGGAAGTTTCTATATTATTTCCTTTTATAATTGTTTTTCATTGGTTTATTTAATTTAATTTTTAAGTGTAATCTAGTATGACAGAGCGCTGTTTATGTGAATCTTTCTAGTCACTGTATATTGTTGTATAACGTTTAGTTGATCCCTGTGTAGATGGGTATAGACCCATTTAGGGAAATTACTCTAACCACCATCCTCATTCGCAATATGTGTTATTGAAACGGGTCTGTAAACAACAAGCTAAAACAAGCCAGCTAACTAACAAAAAAATAAAAAGTGGCATTGCAGTGCTAATCAATAAAATAAAGACTATTCATCACAGACACCTTCATTGTTACTGTTGTACATGGACACAGTTGTAGAGGACAAGGGGGCACTCTTTACTTCTGGAGGAAAAGAAATTTAATCTTCAAACACAGAAAGGTTTCTTCACAGTAAGAGCTGTGAAAATGTGGTATAGACTCCCTCAAGAGTTGGTTCTGGCCAGCTCAGTGGATTGCTTTAAAAAAGGCCTGGATTCTTCCTTAGATACACAGAATATAACTGGATACTAACATTTATAGGTAAAGTTGATCCAGGGAATATCTTGGGGGATCAGGAAAGAATTTTTTCCCCTGCAGGAACAAATTGGATCATGCTTTGCTGGTTTTTTTGCCTTCCTCTGGATCAACTGTGGGTGTAGGATTATAATTTTTTTTTTTTTTAATATGGTTGAACTGGGTGGACTTTTGTCTTTTTTCAGCAAGACTAACTATGTAACATGGACACATAGTTGTAAATTGCCTTCTATTTCAAGTTTACATATCACAAGTCTATGTTCAACAGTACAGTTACTCCTACACAGAGGTTCTGCTCTGGGCTTTCATCCTTATGCACCACTGTGTACTTAGTAATTCAGTGACCTGGAGCAAGCATATGCATATTATGTGTCAGGATACCTGATGCTGCAGGAAGGATAAGGATGAAAGCCTTCATTTACAAGTAGGCAGGACCACCCACGTATTCAAATTCTGATCATTTCCTTTTGAGAAAAAGATTTGAAATCAAGTTAAGTTACATTCTAATTTCTTTCTCCTTTTTGTTTTTCTTTACAGTTGGTTGCAAAGGCTGAGAAAATCCGCCTTGTTAAAACCCAGGAGGCTTGCAAACACATCAGATTCTGTGATGAACCCTGACACACAGAAATGTGATATCTAGACTGTTTTTTTTTTTTTTTTTTTTAACATTTTATAATTTTTCAGCATGCAAACACATACGTTTCAGGTTACAGTTTGTTAATGTATGTTCCGTTGGATTTTTTTGCAAAAAAAAAAAAAAAAAAAAGTGTATGTCAAACATTGTATTGGATGTAAATACAGAATATAGCATCTCTTTTCTGGGTGTATCTTCAGGAGCCAATGAGCTTGCCGAGTCAACATTTAAAGAAATATGGATAGGAAATGGACATGTGGTAGTTGCCACTGCTAACCTCACCTTCTGAAAATGCTAGTTGCCTGACCTACTGATCCCATAGTGCTTTTTTTATTTACTTACTTGAGCATGCAGTTTAGGGGTTTTGACCCCATTTCTGATAGCTGATTTGCCTTTAATATAAAAGGAACATGGCTTGAATCATCCAAAATCAAGCCAGCATCAGCATTAAAATGCAGGACTGCAAGTACACCTATTTTTGTTCAACTTATTCTATGTAAAGTCCAGGAAGTCCCCAAACTCATAACGCCATGCATCCAGGCCCATGACTTTTGTATCATCTACCACAACATTAGATATAGGTAAAAGGTAAGGGGACTGCATGCTAAAGATTCTAGATGCTAAGGAATACCCAAGATCCAATATATTCTGTTGTGAGTGTTCAGCATATAAAATAAAGATGGGTTACTAATCAATTTAATCATCCTAGACCTCCTGATGACCAACGACTCAAGGAGTTTGCAGCTATGTTGCAGTTACTACATATAATAACATTATCCACTTGGCTATGGTGTTTTTTCATTTTGTCAATGTGATCAAATTGTTTAAAAGATAACTTCACATTTTTTAACATGTTACACCTGTATTTAGAATGTAACATGTTCCTGCACAATCCCCTCAACACCTCAATGTTTCCCCTGTGACAGAGGGTGGGGGGGATCCCCTCCCTTACAGCTGCTGTTATATTTGTCATACAATATAACATCCAACACTGTTTTTTAGCAGACTACCCTACAGGTTTGTTTAATTCAGACAATGCTTACATCTACAAAGGATTGTGGATCTTCTGTGAAGCTGTCAGACAAAGGATATATTTTGTATTGTTTCAGAGAAAATAAAAATCCTTATTTTTAATTCTTGTGGGGAATCGCCTTTTACATTTTACAGCCTGCTTGGAAAGTGAACCTGCACAATATATGCAATCATCAGAATGCCAGCAGTGCTTAGTTTACTGTTAAACGCTGGTAAATTCTGCTTTTCTGTTGCCATTGTAAAATGTTCAGTGGATGCTGGGAGCAATGATCTCTTAGGCTCATATCATATATGGGCGTTTTGAACCATGAGCAGAATCGCCGCAATTTCAACACGCCGTGCTAAAATGGCAAATAACTCAATGCGAATTTCAGATTCCATTTATTTTAATGGCACCTAAAAACATGGTGGGGTTCTTCCGTGATTGTCGCACTGCAATCACCGCAAACTGCATCACGCGTAGCTTGCCACCTAAAGGAAGCTCCTGCTTTTGGGTGACCTGCTTCGCTCGATGTGGTTTGCAGCAAGGTTTAGTGCGCAACAATTGCAGCAGAACCGCACACCGGTGCCATTAAAATTAATGGGATTTGAAATTCGCATTGTGTGGTTTTTTTTTTTTTTTTCTTTTTTCCATTTTAGCAGAATATTTTGAAAGCACAGACAGAATTGCAGAGCTTTCAAAATGCCCATATGTGAACGGAACCTTATAAAAAGAAAAACGGTCAGATGAGTTAAAAAAAGCAATTAGCCAGATTTGAATTTCATGCTGCTAGAAATACCTAGACGTTGCATTTACAGTGCTAATACATCTTGATATAGATATATACAGGAGTTAGACAAAAAAATGGAAACACTACATGATTTGCAGGTGTGAAAGTGACGACATGTTTCACATTGAAATCGGAAGTGATGCAACATTCTTTTGCTTCCGCTGTGTGTGATGAAACCCTGAGCTAACAGCGAGGAAGCTTTCGTTTCGTTACTCGCTGCATGCTCTGATAGTAATACGGAGTCATGTCAGAGCTTACTGAGCTTCAAAGAGGGCAAATTGTTGGTGTATACCGTCATAACCTTTGATAAGGTACCTCACAACTCCGCAAATAAATTTGCAACTTCAGTCTCGGAGGCACCAGCTAGGCGGGATCCAACAATTTCCCCTTTTTGAAGCTCAGTAAGCTCTGACATGACTCCGTATCACTAGCAGCGCACGCAGTGAATGATGAAAGTGAAACTTCCCACCTGTTAGCTAGGTGTCTCATTACACAGCAGAAGCAAAAGAATGTTACATCACTTCCTTTTTCAACACGAAACATGTCACTTTCACACCTGCAAATCATGTAGCGTTTCCATTTTTTTGTCTAACCCTTGTAATTACCATGTGTATAGGATTGCCAAAAGCTCTTTAAATGACTAATTCTTTCATCAAACTATAATTAAAAGAACACTGTTCTGTTTGGCCAACTTTTAATAGTGGTGAGTAGTGGCATGGTATTTTTTTTCTTTTTAATCTTGTTGTATGCATATGTGAAGAGCAAAACTAGCATCAGATAGCAAAGGTTTGTTTAAGACCTAAGGCACCATTTTCACAGGCATTTAGTGATGCGTTGAATCCTAGCAGCAAGAATTTACTGATTCTTGCTGCTGGGATTGACAGCTGTTTTGTGAATCACTGACACCAAGCCTGTACACTGACAGGCTGTCAGCGGCTGCAGTTAGTCATACCTGTTCACACAGCCAGCAATTGCCTGTGGAGATCTTTACATGAGAAAATACTATCAATCATTGTGATGTGTCCCTTGTGCTACTGGCTGGTACTTTAGTTGAAATCTTCTGTCCTCTGATGCCCCCCTACCATGGTGCCAAAGGGGTTAATAGAGCCAAGTGTACTATCTGCTGACCTAAAAAAATGTGATTCCCTTGCCTTATCGTGGTTTGGTTGTTGTAATGTGCTGAATATGAATGTTATGCCATGGCTATTATACCTATTACAGGCCCTACCAGTTAAATTGCCACAAGCTTTCTTCCACTCTGTGTGCTCTGCCTTCACTAGATTTGTTTGGCATGGTAATCATCTGTGCTTTGCTACGCAGACCCAAACTGAGAGGTGGCGTAGGCTTTCCGGACCCTATACTGTACAGCTGTTCAGATGACTAGAGTGGTGGACTGGTCTACACCAGAAGCACAAATTATGGGTCACATTGGAACAGGAAATGGCGGGGGCCCCGCTTGCAGGACTTCCATGGGCAAGAAGGCAATACGTATCCCAACTTACTACTCCTCCACTAATAAGTCCCATGTTGGTCGAACTGAACAGATTTTTCGCATTAGCATCTTTGCAGAGCTTCCCCTCCCCCATGACGCTAATCATAGGCCACCCAGGATTCCTTCCCGGGCTTACTGATTCTAGCTTCAGATCCCTGTCTTCCCAGGGTCTAATACGTGCATCTCACTTTCTATGTCCCACTGGGGGGATCTCGCTGAGTACCTTGTTTCCCAGCCCATCTACCTCTATCACAGATTGTTGGAAGACCCTCCAGCTATCTCACTTCTTCTATTCTCTACCCAAACCTTCACTTTTCCCTAGAAAGTTACATGCATTTGGGAGATGTATTTTGATAAAGGCCTGATCCAAAGCTCTCTTTCTAACTCTTACAAATACCTTCTAGAACTCAATGCTCAGTCTGACCCCCTTACTTAGCTAAATGGGAACGAGACTTACAGGTCACCTTCTCTGACTCTCAAAAGTAACAAATACTTTTCTTTGCACATAAATTGTCCCTATGCAACAAATACCAAGAGACCACTTACAAGATAGTGACTCGCTGGTACAGTTCTCCGTCGGTCTTTGCGAAACTATACCCTCAACAAAGTGGTTGTTGTTGGAGATGTGGTTCGTCTGTGGGACATTCTCAAAAGATATGTAAGAGAATACCTAAACGTCAAACCTTTTGGCAACCTGTGCTCCACCTTATTCCAAAATTTACAGACATCTCACTACAAGATAATCCTGCTGTGATTTTGCTCAATCTAAATCCCCTATTGCAGAAGCGGTATCACAAATCTTTACTAAAACACCTGTTGAATGCGGCATGGGCCTGCATTGTTATCTCATGGAAACAACAATTCCCCCCCCCCCCCCCCATATTCGCTCAATGTCTTGCAAGGAATAATATAGAACAACTGGAGGACCTGCCTCAACCCTGCAAGACAAGATGGAGGAACATAAGACCAGGTGGTTCTATTAGAATATCTTTTTCGTTTCTCTGATGAATATATGCAATATGTTTGACTTGCATAATCTCCTTCTGTCTGCTCTCTTAATGGCTGGAAGTAAAGACATGCCTCCCCCAAGTCCCCTCAGAGGTGATCCTTTCCCTCCATTCCACCTCCCCCCCCCCCTTTTTTTTTTTTGTCTTTCCATTCTCTTCTTTCCTCCTTTCTCTCTCTGTCTTAGGAAAAAATTGAAAAATGTTTTTGAGATATGCAAGCCCCCAGTTATCTATGTACATATTTTGACTCAAAGGCACTGCTACAGATTGGATACAGAAAACGGTTTTTATCCTATTACATTTCAAAGTGCATGTACACCCTTTTCCAAATTATTATGCAAATTCTATTTAGGTGTCACAAAGATTAAATATTTTGTTTTTCAGTTTAACTCATGGATGGCATTGTGTGTCAGGGCTCTTTTGATCACTGAAAACAATCTCGAACTCCTGTGATAATTAGATTGGCAAGTGAGCCCAATTTAAGGAAAAACTACTAAAGGAGGGTGTTCCACATTATTAAGCAGAGCACCATTTTCAAGCAATATAGGGAAGAAAAAGGATCTCTCTGCTGCCGAAAAAAATTAAATAGTTCAATGCCTTGGACGAGGTATGAAAACATTAGATATTTCATGAAAACTTAAGCGCGATCATTGCACTATTAAGAGATTTGTGGCTGATTCAGA